CCCTCGCGAGAAGCTCCAGGCCCCCCCCTCAAAGCCCCCGCCCCCCCCACAGACCCCTCACGGGGGTCCCGCCCCCCTCAGACCCTTCCCGACCCCGAGACCCCCCCGGGGGTCCCCAGATCCCCCCCTCAGGGACCCCAAACCCCTCACGGGTACCTCCAGGACCCCCCCCTCAAACACCCCGCGCCCCCTCCCCTCACAAACCCCGCCTCCCCCCCGAGCCCCTCACGGGGGTCCCGCCCCCACCTCAAACCCCCCCCTTGGGCCCTCCCCGAGCCCGGGACCCCCGCGCGGGTCAGGGAGGGGTCCCGGGGGTCTCGGGGGGGGTCCCGGGGGGGTCCCGGAGCCCCCCCAAGGCCGCGGGGCCCCCCCGCGCTCACCGGTCTCGTCCGTCACATAGGGCGTCGCCATCTTTGCGCGCGCGCCGCGGGGCCGCCCCGGAAGTGACGCAAAGACGGCGGCGCTGGCGGCGGCGCTTGGGGGCGTGGTCAAAACCGGAGGGCGTGGCCACGTGTGGGTTATGGTAATTAGTGGGCGGAGCTAAACGCAAACCCGCGCTCTGCCTCTATGCTAATCAAGGGGCGTGGTCAATATGGAAAGTAGTGGGCGTGGCCAAAAGTGGAGCTGATGCTGCAGTTAAGGGGCGTGGTCATTGATTGAGATGCAAATTAGTGGGCGTGACCAAGTGATGGAAATGAGATTCATTGCAATGGAAATTAAGAGGTGTAATCACTTATTTAAATGGGAGGTGTGGTGGGCGTGGCCATTGCTTGATATGTAAATTAGAAAGCGTGGACAAAAGGCAGGCATGAGTTTTAATTAATATGGAAATTAGGGGGCGTGGCCATTAATTAGAATGGGAATCGCATGGTGAAAATGGATGAACATGTATGGGATATGTAAATTAGTGGGCGTGGTCAAAAGTAATCAGCTTCATCATAAATGGGGCGGGGCCACTGCTTGATATGGAGATTAGAGGTGCATGAGCATAATTAATATGCAAATTAGGCGCGTGGTTATTCATCTATATGATAATTGGGGTGTGGTCCTTATCAGATATGGAAATTAGAGGGTGTGGTTATTTATTGATATGCAAATTTGGGGGCGTGGTCTCTGGTTTGGGGCTGCTCCGGCCCCTTGGGACCCCCCCAGATCCCCCAAATCCCACCCAGGAGCCCCCAAAACCCATCCAAAACCCCCCCAGACCCCCCAAAATCCCCCAAAATCCCCCCAAGGACCCCCCCACACCCCTCCCAGACACCCCCAGACCCCCAAAAATCCACCCAACCCCCCCCAGACCACCCCCAGATCCCCCAAATTCCCCCCAGGCTCCCCAAAATCCCCCCCAATCCCCTCCAGACCCCTCTAAATCCCCCCAAACCCTCCCGAGATCCCTCTAAATCCCACCAAATT